GGAGGATAGTAAAGTTACAAACAACCGAAACCACAAAAAAACAAACCCTCTACTATTCTGAAATGACTGCTCAGACAGGGGCCTGGGGAAGGAGAAGAGATCTGCACACATTCCAACCTCCGCGTTTCACTAGGTACCTATGTGCCCACGCAAATGACTGGACACTAACTGAAAGAACATAAATGAGTAGCAAAAACTATATACACATTTAAAAAAAGAATACGTCCTGCACCTAGTTTCCCCTACGTCCACCCACCCCTCTCCCCAACAAGTTTTTAAAAAATCCCAAACTACTTTTAATTTATTGCATATATAGATTCCAAGGGAAAGGAAGAACAGGAGAGTATACACCTAGAACTCCACAGTTCACTAGAAGCCTAAAGTCCAAACGAAGGACTAGCAACCCAATGAAACTATCTAAAAAAGGGGTAAAAACATGTATATACATTTATAAAAGTATATCCTGAAGGAAATCCTCTCCCCAATACCCACCTCACTCCCCCTGTAAAACTAGCACACCACCACAAACTCTAAAACTAGCCAAATATTGGATTAGCCATTCCTGCACTGGCAATAAGGGGAGGAGACTTCTCTTAGTCTGAACCTCGATTTTTCTTTATATACTTAAACATCTATATGTAAAAGTCGAAAACTGATGTTAAAAAAATAGTAGCAAAAAATACTTATTTACATATATATTTAAAAGCATAATCTTGCCCTAATATCCTTCTCCCGTTAACAACTCCCTCCCCCAAAAAACCCCCAACAACTCTAAAGTGATTACCCGTGCAGACAATATGGGAAAGGAGCAGAGGAGACAGTTATACATCAGGTCTCTATGGTCCACTGAGTACATTCCAGCCCAGGGAAAGGACTGCGAGCCCAGTGAAGTAATGTAACAATAAAAACATACAATAAATAAACAAACAATAAATACATACTCAATTTCTATCATTCTCACTCTAACTAAACTAACAAAAACAAGCCCCCGACTCAACAACTATTCTATAGCCATTGCCCACATAGGCAATCTGGGAAGGGAGAAGAGGGAACTGTTATACATCCGGACTTCCACGGTTCATTAGGTACATTTCTGTCCATGAGAAGGACAGAGTACGAAATAAAATAGTAATACCAAGTATATTTGTAGATCCTAGATTCACACTTCACACACCCCACTACTGCCCCCCACCCCGAAAACTACTCTAGTAGCTATTGCCCTAAGAGGCAATAAGGAAAAGGGGGAAAAAGGAGATTTGTCATACTCTGAACCTCAATTTTTTTACATATGTATATCACAAAGAGGTAAGTATAAAATGGAATGTAAAAAAAGTAGTAAAACATTTATATACACTTGAAAGGATGATATACAGTACCCATCCCTCAAAGATTAGACAAAAAGGCTAAAAGTATTATTATGCACACAAGCAGTAAGGGAAAGAGTAAAAGAATACTCGGTATATACTTCAGGACCTCCACCTCTCATCAGGAAGCTATACAGCCAGGAGAAGGAAGAATGGCAAAAAGAAGTAACATTCACAATATTAGCAAACACATTTGCACACACTTTTAAAGAGAAAATGCTCTCCTCCCAACATCATTTTCTTACAAAAAAATGCAAAGTAACTAATCTATCAGCTGTTGCCCACACAGTGGTGAAGAGATTTTCATAGAAAAAATATCTCACCCTTTTCCAGGACAAACTATAGAAAAAGAAGAAATTTTTTAAGGTATCTAATCTTTGACTACTATTCTGACACTTATTTTGCCCCTGCAGTGTACTGAGCACAAAATGAAAGAATGCAAGAGGTAGCAAAAATATGTCTACATGCTAATTTTTGAAAGTATAAATGGGGCAGTGGAGGTAGCTAGTTAAGGAAGGAACAAATGTCAATAAAAACAGAAGTCACTAAAACAAAGAGAGTAAGAGCTGCGTTTTACCTAAGTCCCCAGTTCTATGATAGTTCTATGGTACAAAATACCATCCTATGTTTGCAGTCAACCCAGGAATATATCTTCCCTGCAGCTCCATGAAAGCATGAGATCTCATGAAAGCTCTAAAGGCAAATGCAGATTATGGGCTCCAGACACTTTAGTTTAAAGAGGTTCCTTCAAATCCAACCCAAGACATCAGTAATCTAACAAATCCAGCATTTAATTTCTCACATCTTGATACTCAGAAAAGATTCTATTCTCCAACAGGCAATGTTGATGTAGTCCTGTTTCCTTTAGACACCCAGCACTCATCTGACAGCTCTTTTGCGGCTATAAAGACTGAAACATAACAAAATGAAAGTGTTACACAAAGAATCATTAGAAAGTAGAACTTGCGATATAACAAAGTTCTTCATGACCACAGCAACAGTAACAAATGATACAATTTCATTTAAGGAGACTAATATAGAACCTAATAGAACCTTAAAATAAAAGAAGTGACAACTCGTGGTGGAAACTGACACTGCTTGCAGATTAATTTATGTAATAATTTGATATTAAGAGAAATATGGGACTCTCAAATTTCTACTTTAATAAGCTTTCAGATCCCTATAGCATATATTTTCCATTCCTAAATTCCAATTCTGCCTAGCTTTATAAAAAATCTAGCATACTGTGCCTTTACATTCAAGTAGACAGTCTCTCCTTAATAAAAGGCAAGTAATACTTGTTAAACAAGTACTTAATTCTGTCATAGGTCTGTGTGCTTTTATTTAAAAAAGTGCATTTTGACACTGTGCTTCAATCTTGTGGCTTCCCAGAAAATATAGGGGCTAAGATCAAGTTTTAGGGGGAAAATTTTGACTTTTATACTTAAATGCATATGATATACTTTTCCTCTTATTTAACTTCATTATTTCTGGCTTAATGTTCATTTTTAGATGGACTAGGAAGACATTAAAAATTGTGGAATTGTGTGGGGAAAAATTAGGAGACACCTATAAAAGTAATAATGTAGATACTATGGTTCCAATATTATGGAAATCAATAATTTTTGAGTACAAAGCTAGTGATGGATCATGAATCACCTCTTTATCTGGCCCATATCTTGGTTTTGGATTTTTTTTCCAAATTATTAACACTTCCACACCACAAACATGTGGAAAAGACAGAATTCAAGAAAAGATTTGCCATATGTAGAGTTAACATATATTACAGAAGCAAAGTCAGGATGTGCAGGAAAAATTGAAGCATCATAACTGATTTTGCAATAAAATTTAAGCTCTGTTGCAAAGTCAAATTCAATAATACAACACAGTACAAAATCAGCAATAATGAAAAACCCTCCAAAGTTTAGTGTTTTTCCCACTTTAAAGATAGAAAAACAGTCACTTTCAAGATCAATGAGATGATCATTTACTTAACTTACTGATGCATGGAGGATGAGAGATCTAAGATCACCGCAGCTATCTAAGACATCTCTAGATGATTCAGAACCCAACATAATGTTTTCCACTTTGAAACAGAGGGGTGAATAATTAGAAAAGTCAAGGGGAAACACACGAGGATGGGAAGTCTGTTCTGTCAGCCTTTTATAGTTTGTTTTATAAAAATATTTTCCATAAAATAAATATAATTTTATAAACAATCTCATGTACTCATACCTGCTGAAAAAAACAAAGTGACCTGTCCCCATTGTCTGACTCTGTCGAGTGTATTAAGTGGTCAAAAATGGCTAAACTACCCTTTTTATGTACATAGATGATGTTTTCAAACCAAATATAAACACCATGCGAGTTATTAGGAAGAAAGCTTTTCTTTTAAGATTCAATGAAACACAACAATCTAGGTATATGTCTGCATAGCTGAAAAATTCAAGTACAATATCCCTTTTTCAGGACTCAGAATGCCATACAATTTTGGATATCTTCATTTTTCATCTTTTTCTTTGGCCATTTCTCTTAACATGCTAGTTTGGCCACAATAAAAGAAAAACTCACATTGTCAAGGAAAGAAAAATATTAATTTTGATACTGGAAAAAAATTCAAAGCCCACCACCTCAAATTTGAATTCAGCTTCCTCTGATTCCACATTTTCTTCATTCCTATTTAAGGTACTATGGTGAACTTTAAAGAAAAATGTTCAGTTTCCTAAAGATCTTATTTCGAAATATTCTTCAGATATGCTACTGTACTACACAACATGAAAATCCACATATGGATATGATTCAAAAGGAAAAGAATCTTGGCCCAACAAAGCCAAAAGACAATTTAAAAGTCATAATGAAGGACACCAGAGAAAACGGAATGCTTGTCACAAATGTAGATATATTTATCTGTAACATAAGGTTTATCTATGTCATGGAGTAATAAAGGTGTACAGAGAGGTGGGGGGCATCAGCATCAACAAATAAATGAATCCTAATTAAAGCTAGCTCATTTTGGAGCAGTATCCCATGGTAATGTTGGAGAACATTAAAACAAAGTGTAATGTATTTGGAAAGTTTTATATCTTTTGGCCTTGTGATCTTGCTTTTAAATGTAACAAAAATTTAGAAATTCTGTAGCACCTGGCTATTCTACAGCATCCAATCCGCAAATCAAAGTAGAACTACACACCTGAGATCAGTTTTCTATAGCTGCATGCTTCATCGCTATTTGTCATCACTATTTGAAGCTAAGGTTACAACAAACAGCTGAGAAACCAGCAACCTGAAAAGGGTGGCTCGCATGGTCGGTCTGTCTTGTTTCACAGTACTCACTTTCTGGTGCTGAGAAACAGAATTTTTCTTCTCCTTTCTAAATCTTCAAAGTAGAAAAATTACGCGCTTTTTTGTGTTTGGTAAATGATTGGCATATAGGTGAACACAATTTTGTAATAAATAACTACTTACTGCCTAAAGACACTCAGAAAAAGACAGATGAAAAAACAGACGTGCCCTGAGCTAACTAGAACTCCTAAGAGTGCAAACAACTTATCAGTGATCCTGGTTTTTTGCAAAAGCAGCAGAGCTCCAAGTCTGCAGGCTCTGAATGGGCAACAGAATGAGGTGCATTTGCGCATGCTACAGCCACAACGTCAGAGCTTGTAAGTTCTTCTCCATCCACTGGATATTCAGCTGAATGACTTCCAATCCATCCTGAATACTATTGTACTTAAAGGTATCTTCTGGCTGAGTTTCAAAGAATCCCCGGACCTGTAAGACCGACAGGAAAATATGTCAAAAGAAGACAAGGACATAAATCTTGGGTAGCTTTGAATATCCTCAAATTAGCTTTATTAACTTTAAAAAGAATGTCAAGTTCTTCTTAAAATTAATTCCTCTATTCCTACCAAGTATGAATTTTTAAACAGGGAAAAAAGGTTTAAATAAAAGTAAAGGAAGTAGAGTCTAAAGTTGGATTTGGTGCTAAAAAGTCCTTGCACAACAGAATTCATTATTACCGACAAAACAAAAACCCTATTCGTATAAGGGAAATCAATGAAATACTGTTGAGAACGGAATTGGAGTTTTTCGTCACTACCACACATTCCACACTCTGTGAGTAAATTTTCATCACAAAATGTAGGAAACTCACAAATAGAGAGAAGAGATAGGGACCAGAAGAAGCTACCAGTTCACTTCAACTGTGTAAGTCTGACGAAAAGGGCTTTTTACGACCTCCACAGAAGCATTTTACATTACCAACCTCAGAGAGACGTGTCTTTGTTGAAAACATGTGAGTTAATGCAGCAATAATACCTCGCATGGGATAGGACCTCACAGCAAGCCTTGAAAAACACATGAACAAACAAGAATTAGGCAGCTGCTGTGCAGTAAAGCACTGATAGTTAAATATAAAGGAATTGCTTTAATATAAGCGCATATGCCAAAGGCAAGTGGATGATTCTGGCAACTTTGACTCAGTAACTTAGCTGTTTGTTGTTGTTATGTGCCGTCGAGTCGCCTGCGACTCATAGCGACCCTATGTACTTAGTAGCAGTCCTATATATACTTACTTCTGGGGAGAAGGACAAATGGTGTTGGGGGGAGGTGGGGAGTTAAGAATTAAAGGAGAGTCAGATAAATTATCTGTTCATCTCACCTACTGAAAAACTGTATCATATTCTCTTGCACTATCTAGCTATGTCTGGTAGCCTACTGGTAAGGAGCTATGTTGTCAACCTGAAGGCACATGGTTCAAGTCCACCAGTTTCTTTGAGGGAGAAAGATGGGCAATCTCCTCTCGTGTGATTTACTGCCTGTGAAAACCTACTGGAGGGTCAACTATGGGTTGGTTCTGACTCAATGGTACATAACAACAACAAGCTATCTTTTGCCAATGAAGAGGTTTTTCTAAACCTACATAAACTGGAACAGCTCAAGTATCCACGTTGAGTTAAGGGACCTGAAGTCAGACATGGCTGGGCTTGGTCAGTACTCAGCAAAAACACACTCTTCAATGGGGTACATAATACATGAATACACTGTTTAAAAATGTGAAAATTTTGGCCTTTAAAAGTTAAGCCATTCTGTTTCTTCTCATAGTAAATCCCAATTCCCATGTACCAACGCAACCTTGGAGGGCCCTTCTCAAATCAGGACCTGAGGATATCAACTTAGTCTTAGTAACTTACTTTTGTACAAGCACATCCCAGTTCTCTTTGACAAAATTCCAAGCCAGTAAGTGTCCAAGAAGGCTTTGACTCATTTCTTGAACGATGGCAGATAGCCTAAATGTAGGAATCCTGTTCCCATCCAGGCTAATTTTCATTAACCTGAAGAACACAACAGATTTAATCTCCATAGTTACTATGCATTTGGAAGTAGACTGAACTTACATTAGTAATAATGTCTAAAGAGCATTCTGTACTAGTGCATTAGTCTAAGACAGATCTACAGATTGAAAATGTTTACTTTTTAAGTGGAGAACTCACTAATACGATATGCATTCACATACATTATTACATTAATATAGCAACTCTGTATACAGTGCAGACATAAAAAACAAATTCAACTAAAATTTACAAGTTTTAGAGATGCTATTAAAAACAAGCAAACAAACAAACACACACACACAAAATACAAAAAAAAAACCTCCAAAAGGCAGGCTTGTTTCTATTCTCAAAATACCAGACTGTTTGAATAAACACAAAATAAAGCCTAACTTTTTGATTTCCATTTTCTTGAGATCTGAGCGAAAGCTTACGAACCATATTGGTTTTTTATTCAAGTACTCACAAATAATTGCTTTACAGTCATAATTAGAATACCCACCATGCCTGACTCACTTTGTGATATATGCAGCTTCCTTCATCCAGCTTAACAAGGATCTATTATCTATTTAGGAGCAGTGATGGCTTAGTGGCAGGGAGTTGAATGCCAACCAAAAGGCATACAGTTGGAATCCAGCAGCTGTTCCACAGGAGAAAATAGGCAATTCCCTCCTGTGTGATTTACTGTCTTTGAAAACGTACAACCCACTGGAGGGTCAGGTATGGGTTGACTCTGATTTGATGGTACATAACAACAATTATCCATGTATTATTTTTTGTCCCTCTCTCCCACTCTCTATCCCTGCTAATCATACAAGAGTGATTCTAAGTATCAACCCTAACTTTTTATAATAGAGAATTTATACAATATTTGTTCCTTTGTGACTTATTTCACTCTGCATAATGACTAGATGCTAACTCACAATCTAGAGATTCACTCATGCTAAGCACTGGGTAACTCTTTACTGTTCTTTAGTACTCTATCATGCGAATGTAACAGCTTCCTTAACCATCTGTCTGTTGACGGACACTTGGATTGTTTCCGTTTCTTTGATGCAACGAACAAAGATATATAATTATCAGTTCGTGTCACAGCTCTCAGTTCTTTAAGATAAATACCTACTAGTGGGATTGCTGGATTCAAATGTTATTTCCATTTTTAACTTTTTAGGAAGTGTCAGTTGCTTTCCACAGTGGCTGAATCATTCTACATTCCCACTAGTGTTCTAATCTCTCCAAACCCCAACAAGCATTTGTTGTAGAACTCTCTACTATTGTTTCTAGGATGAGATGGTATCTCTCTCTCTCTCACACACTCACACACACACGCGCACACAATCAGAGTTGTTTTGATTTGCATCTCTGTGGAGCTCTGGTGGCTTAGTGGTAAGAAGTTGTGCTGCCAACTCAAAGGCACATGGTTCCAATCCACCAATAGTTCTGAAGGAGATGGGCGACCTACTTCCATGCAATTTACTGCCTTAAAAACCCGCTGGAGGATCAGCTATGGGTTGATTCCAACATAACACTATGTAACAATAACAACAGTTAAGGATTGTGAACATTTCTTCATGTGTTTGTCCTATGCAATAAAATTTGCTTACAGTTAGAAAACATGCACACTGTAAGAATATATTTGTAATGGGGAAAATCCCCGATATCAGTCAAAATGTGATAATGAGTTAACTTATGAAAGAAACATATTATGGAATAGTATGTAGCACTCCTCTGCCAATTTGCTCAGTGAGGTAAGCTGGGTTTGCTGTGATACTGAACTTTGTGCCACTGGGAGGTCAAATGCCACAACAGCTGCCCATGGTGGACAGCGTTTGGTGGAGTTCCCAGTTGAAGACAGGTTTGGAAGCAGGCATGCAACTACTTCCTAAACCACATGCCTCTAAAAACTCTATTAACTTGTAGAAACAACAATAGTTATAGAAAGGCTTTAGGCCTTTTTTGTTCATAGTGTCGCTATGAGTTGTGCTCAACTCAAAAGCAATCAACAACAACAACACGTAGCCATAGGAAAACAACTGAAATAGGCTTTTTAAATGGACATGGAGAATCTCTCTGACTGATGATTTGCCAGAAAAAAACCACAACACAAAACACTGAGTGGTGGTGTTGTGTACCGTAGAGTTGGAACCAGTATCCATACCTGACCCTCCAGCAGGTTTTCCCATGGGAAAAGCTTGCCCATCCTTCTCCCATGGAGCAGCTGGTGGCCACCAACCGTGTGCCTTCAGGATTGTAGCACAGCTTCTTACCACCAGGCCATCAGAGCTCCCTAAAACACTGGGTTGAGAACAAGTGTATTTAAAAAAAAAGTGTTTATGTGTATATATGTGCTAGTACTCAGATGGAACACCATCTCCCATAGGCAGACAGACCAGAGAGGAGTGACTACGAATGACAGTGAAGGGTTATAGGATTATAGGAAACACTTTCAAATTTTATTCCCTACTCTTTATATATTTATTTAATCTGCTGTAAACATGGGTTTAGTAATGTTTTGTTAGTAGAGCTTAAAAGAAAAAAACCTCCACCAGGCTTAACTTGCTGTTTGTGTTCTCACTGAGGTGAAACTACCTTTCCTAGGCCTTCATCAACTGGGTATTAAAAAGTATGAAAAATTCCAATGAGGGAATTAATCTGGAAGCTTTTAACGTTAGCCTTTTCTCAAGTGCCTGAATTTTCTAAGTGACAGAGTAGACACAGAAATGCCTTACCCCAAAGAACAAGATTCTAGCTATGGAATTTAATGTAGTATGGCAAGGAAATGGAGAAGGGTTTGAGTTGGGAGTAGGAGGAGGTCTCTGGGAAATGCCTCATCTTCATCTCTGGGGAGTTTCCATCTCTGAAATTAAACCCAGCATGTGCTGACTTTTCGATACACCATCCCAGTCAGGCCTGCTTTACTAGTAAAGGGAGTATAAGGATCCCCAAAGTAAATACGCTCCTCATCATAGGAACACAATGCTTTTGGTTTCAATACTTTTTCAATCATTTTTGGTATACTCCTTAGATAGTTTCATACCTGTAAAGATTCCTTATATCTGCTGTGCTGGCAAGAGCTTTAAGTATCATTTCCTTCTTTCCTTCAGAATTTTCAGTGTCATATGCGCTTAAAAGGAATGACCATCCTTTCTCAGTTTTGGCTCCAACTTTGAACACAGTGGACATGACATCAAGAGGTATGCTATTAAAGAGAAGTTCAGTCATAAGAATGAAAAGTCCTGAGCACAAAAATAAAGGAACTGACTAATAGTGGTCATTTTGGGATCAAGGCAGGTAACAATTAGCTTTTACTTAAGAATGTGGAATCAACATAAACCTAATTAAGTGGCTCAAGGAGGTTGGTAAAGTGTTGCCCTACTAACTGAAGAAGAGTGGCTGTCTGAATCCACCACCTATTCTGTGGCAGAGAGGAGGCAGTATGATTCTGTAAAGATTTATAGCCTTGGAACCCGAACAGGTTGTCCTATTCTGTCCTAAAGGATCATTCTTTCCTATTTAGTCACTAGTTAGAATCAACTCAATGCTGGTAGGGTTGGTATACTTTTTTTTATTTGCCTAGTGGTAAGACTATACAGACCACCAATTCAATTTCAGATCATTCACTCACTAAAAACCAGGAGCTCTAGTGGCTTAGTGGTAAGGAACTATGCAGCTAACACAAAGGTACACAGTTTGAATATACTAGTTGCTCTGTGAGAGAAAAACAGGCCATCTCCTCCCATGCAATTTACTGACTCTGAAAACTCACTGAAGGGTCTGCTATAGGTTGATTCTTATTCAACAGTTCAAAACAACATTCTTATTCAATAGTTCAAAACAACAAACAACTATAAACAAAAACCAGACAGACAATTATGCTATATGCTGCAGAAAAGAAACCAAATGAGACACAGTCCCTACCCTTTTGCAAACCAAAGGCTATTACAAAGGACAGAAGAAACAAATATTATACAGTACAGTGTGGCAAGTTCTATAGCAAATACAGATAGTCGTGAGGGGCAGGGCAAGGGGAAGAAGCACAATCAAATGCTTTTATCACAATCTTAGAGACCCCACAGAGGAGGGAGATGGTTGTCATTAACGCTGATTCTAACACATGGTGATACAATGTGTGCAAAGTAGAACTGGGCTCACAGAGTTTTAAATGACATCAAGGCTTTCGTCTTAGGAGCCTTCACATAGACTTGAACCTCAGCTGTCATTTGGATTTTCTTTATTATGCCAAACATTGAACAGAGAGAATCAATGATCATTAAAAACACTGCTTACTGCCAACTCATGCTATGTTTTGTTTCTAAAATAAAATAAACACTTCCTCCCAAATTATATGAGCTTATTTATTTATCACTCTTAGAAAATTTTGTGTGTGTCTGGACTCAGATTTAGAGATAGAAGCTCTTAGAGAGGACAGCCATCACCTAAGAGACTTTCTTAAGAACAAAGGTACAAAGAATACACTTACAGTTAACAGTTTATACATTTATGGCCTAGGAAACAAAGTTCTTACCTAGGTTTTGGGTATAATGTGAGGTAAAGAGCAAGAAAAGAGTTCATGTGACTACAAATACACTTTACCTCTGAGTTCCATTGGATGACATCCAATCATCAAAGAGTTTCATGGCGACAGTGGTGCAGTTCTTGAGGTTGTGGGTACAAGCAAATCCTAGCAATTTTGACCGAAGATCTCGCATGGATAGGCTGCCATCATCAGTCCAGGTTTGTTGTTGTATTTGGTTATGAAGCAAATTCAATACTCTATTCTAAGAGGCAAAATAAATCACAATGGAGCAAGTCATAAAATTAGGACCAGTAGAAAAATCAGGATGACCAAATTTCTCTGTCTTACCATTAACCTAAGGACAAAAAGAAAGGCTATTACTTACAAAGTATCAACTAATAATGAAGCTCACAGATAGATGAAACCATTAAATAACAAGACAATATAAAAGACCACAGTTGATAACAAAGACTTTTAATGAAGTAGCATAGAAGGAATGAATGTTTATTATGCAATACCTACTGCTCTCAATTCTATTTCAACTCATATTGACCCTTCATCAGGTGTCTCAGAGAACCATTATTTTGTGTGCACTAAGATAGCATGTTTCTATAAAAAATAATCACCTACAACCATTCTTGGAATGAAGATGGTATTTGCAGACTCTGATTTTAGAATCCAAAAATCAATAAAGCAATGAGAGAAAACTGTATTTCTCTGTTGATGGTTAAATGTTTAAATACTTCTGGATCCAATATTAAAGGTATAGTTAACATATTAACTATTTTGAGGCTATAACAAATTAATCCTACCAAATTAGGAAGAAAGAATACAAGATATAGAAAATACAGTGGTTTAAATGTACTTTTTTCTCCCATCCAACTTTCTAATTTAAAAATTTCAAACCAGATTGAAACGGAAACATTTCAGGAAGTACCAAATGAACAGGAGCCAATGGTAAGGAAGGAGGAAGTAGAAGTTGCATTGAAGGCATTTGCAAAAAAAAAAAAAAAGGCCCTAGGAATCCATGGGATGCCAAGTGACATGTTTCTATTAACAGATGCAGCCTTGGATACACTCAGCAGTCTTAAGACAGGAAATTTGGAGGACAGGTGTCTGGCCAATAGATTGGAAAAGGTCCATATTTGTTCCCATTGCCAAGAAAGGTGATCCAACAGAATGTAGCAATTATTAAATAATATCATTAATATAACATGTAGGTAAAATATTGCTGAAGGTCATTCAAAAAAGGCTAGGCTAGAACAGTACATAGGCAGGGAACTGCCAGAAGTTCAAGCAGGATTTAGAAGAGGCCATGGTACTACAGAAGTCATTGCTGATGTTGGATGGATCCTAGCTGAAAGTCAAGAATACTGCAAAAATGTCTATTTGTGCTTTGTTGACTATGGAGAGGCATTTGTGTGGATTTTATAACAAACTGTGCTCATGTTAAACCTATACCTGAACCAGGAGGCTGCTGTGTGAACAGAGCAGAACACTGTATGGTTTAAAATTAAGAACGGAGTGTGTAAAGGTTGTATTCTTTCTCCATTCCTGCTCAATCTGTATGCTGAGCAAATTATTCGATAAGTTTGTGAAGAGGAATCAAGATCAGAGGGAGACTCATCAATAACCTGCATTATGTAGATGACTCAACCTTGCTTGCTGAAAGTGAGGAGGACTTGAAGCACTTGTTGCAGATGATCAAGCAATGGAGTCTTTGGTATGAATTTCAAGAAAACAAAGATTCTTAACACTGGACTGATTAGCAACATCATGATGGATGGAGAAGAGACAAACTGTCAACAGCTTCAACTTACTTGGATCCACAATTAACACCTTTGGTACAAGAAGTCAGAAAATCAGGAGACACATTGTACTAGGAAAATCTGCAGTTAGTGAGGAGTAATGATGTCAGTTTGAGGCCCAAGGTAAATCTGATTCTGACCATGGTCTTTCTGATCACTTGTTATGCATTTGAGAGCTGGACAATGAATACGTATGAAAGAAGAATTGATGCCTTTGAGCTGTGGCATTGAATAAAAGCACTGAACATCCCATGGATGGCCAAAAGAACTAACAGACATATCTTGGGGTCGGGGGTGCAGGTGGAGCACGCTTTGTAGGCAAGACTGATGAGGGTTTGCCTCAAATACTTTGGGCATGTTGCTAAGAGGAGCTAGTCCCTGGAGAGGGACATAATGCTTGAAGGATGGCGGGTCAGCAAAGGAGAGTGAGACCCTCAACAAGGTAGACTGAGACAGTGACTGCTGCAATGGGCTCTAGTGTGTCAGGAAGTGGAGAGGGTGGCAAAGGATGGAACAGAGTTCAGATCTGTTGTTCAAAGGGTTGCTCAAAGTCTCACTTCTCTTGAGAGCACCTAATAATAACAACAGAAAATATGAAAGAATCAGTAGCAGAATGAATACTTACATGCTGTTCTTCTGGATTCACAGGTTTTTAACTCTTGTCTTTATGTGCATGTAATATACAACATACACTTTGTTTTTCTGGTGTCAGCTGAATCGTATAACAATAACTTGTAGATATCATGATGTTTCATTTCTAACCACTTTAGCATGTAACTCCCAGAAATAAGGACATTTTCTTACAAAGTCATAATACATGATGAGGTTAAAAGTTATTCAGCAATACCTAGCCATGGTTACACTCACTTCTAACGATAGCACTGTTAAAAGCATAGCTACAGTCTTAGGAATCAACAGATGCCTTCATTCTTTCACAATTCTCTTCATAACCAAAGCTTAAAAGCCTTTCATAGTGTGGAAGTATTTCCATTCAAGCCGTTGTACACAGGGAAGGGAGATGATAAGGGGGATTCTAACATATAACTTCTGAGTTTACAATGAAACAATCATAAAAAAAAGACATTTATGAATGCTACTTGAAAGGAAATATATTCTGATATGAAAGTATTTGTAAATGTTTTTAATGAAAATATAGCCCTCCCTTAGGTCTTAGGGATTCTTCATGAAAGGAGTTTTCTGTCTACTGTCACTTCTTAAACACCATCACTATTATCATGCCTCATCTCAAATAACCAAGTATCATAGATGACAACATGCAAAATATTTAACTCTAGGAAAATAGTTCAAACTAATTCCAGACCTTTAGATTCTTTCTGAGGACTACTATTGACTACTATCAAACCCTAAAGTACATCAGGGCTAGAGACTTTTTAAGCTTCTGAGGCCATTTCTCAGCAGACCTTCCATGAGTAAGTCACTTGTGGTGTAGAATATGAGGATGGAAAGAGTATGTTCAAGAAGGACTCAAGAACAAACAAATCTGTCTTTTAGATGAAGTGCCACCAAGGTGCTCCTTGTTGTTGTGTTGTT